CTACGGGTGAATGTAGTGGAATGAGTACATTGCTGTGTGAAAGCAAGCAGGAACAGCATAGCCAATGTAATCCCACACAGTTTCATTAGGGAAGCTCAACACAACACTTAGAACTATGGGAGAGGATCAGGAAGTTTGGTACAGAAAGTTGTTTTCTTGCAGTTACACTGCTACTGCATGATTACAGGGGACCATGTATAGAGCTATTGTATCAACATAGTGGAGCAAAACTCGTTTTGCTATTCCCAAAAAGCACTCACTGTAGGAAACTTTTACCACTCACAGCAAACATCCTGCTATGCTCAGGGAAGGGTGGATATTCACTCTCTCATCTCTCTCCAATGCGTGTATGGGTGAATGTAATGGAATGAGTACATTCCAGTGTGTAAGCAAGCAGGGACAGCGTGGACAACGTATTCCCACACACAATTCATGAAATCAACTCAACACAAGACTTAAAATTTTGGGAATGTTTCAGGACTTCGGTGCAGAAGAGTTGTTCTATTCATTCTACATGGGAGTACAGCATTACAAAGGAGCATGTATAGAGCTGGTGTACCAGTGTATTAGAGGAACACTAGGTTTACTATTCTCAGGAAGCATTCACTATAGGAAACCTATACCACTTACAGCCAACATTCTCCCATGTTTAGGACAGGGTGGAAACGCACTTCCTCTTCTGGTCATATGTGCCTATGGGTGAATATAATGGAATGAGTACATTGCTGTGTGAAAGCAAGCAGGGACAGCATAGCCAATGTTCACCCATACAGGGTTTCATAAGGCAAGCTCAACACAACACTTAGAACTTTGAGAAAGTATCAGGGAGTTTAGGGCAGAAAGTTGTTTTCTTGCTGTTTCACCATTGTTACATGATTACATAGTACCATGCATAGAGCTCCTGTACCAACATATTTGAGAAACATTACATTTGCTATTCCCCACAATCACTCACTGCAGGAAACTTTTACCACTTACAACGACCATTCTCCGAAGTTCAGGGAAGGGAGGATATGCTCTCCTTCATTCTGGTGCAATGCATGTATGGGTGAATGTAATGGATGAGTACACTGCAGTGTGTAAGTAAGGAGGCGCAGCGTAGGCAATGTAGTCCCATACACAGTTTCATGAGATAAGCTCAACACAACACTTGGAACACTGGGGATGTTTCAGAGAGTTAGGGGCACAATGTTGATTTCTTGGTTTTCCACTGATACTACATGCTTCATATGAGAAGGTATAGAGCTGGAGTACCAACGTATTAGAGGCACACTAGGTTTACTATTCCCAAAAATCACTGACTAAATCCAACCTATACCACTTGCAGCAAATATTCCTCTATGCTCTTTTCAGAATGGAAATGAACTTGCTCTTTCTGGTCAAATGCACGTATGAGTGAAAGGAGTGGCACAGCTACATTGCTATGTGGAAGCAAGCAGGGAGCGTAGCCAATGTATTCCCATACACAGTTTCCTGAGATAAACTCAACACAGTACTTAGAACTATGGAATTGTTTCAGTGACTTTGGTGCAGAAAGTTATTCTCTTCATTCTACAAGGGTATGACAGCTTTACAATGGAGCATGTATACAGCTGGTATACCAGTGTATTAGAGGAACACTGGGTTTACTATTCCCAGGAAACACTCACTGTAGGAAACCCATACCTCCTACAGCAAATATTCTGTGATGCTCAGGGAAGGGTGGAAATGCACTTCCTGTTCTGGTCATATGCGCCTATGGGTGAATGTAATGGATTTGGTACATTACTGTGTGAAAGCAAGCAGGGACAGCATAGTCAATGTTCTCCCATACAGGGTTTCATAAGGCAAGCTCAACACAGCACTTAGAACTTTGAGAAAGTATCAGGGAGTTTAGGTCAGAAAGTTGTTTTCTTGCTGTTTCACTATTGTTATATGATTACATAGAACCATGCATGGAGCTCCTGTACCAACATATTTGAGAATATGTTTGCTATTCCTCACAATCACTCCCTGCAGGAAACTTTTACCACTTACAACAAACATTCTGTGATGCTCAAGGAAGGGTGGAAAAGCACTTCCTCTTCTGGTCATATGTGCCTATGGGTGAATGTAATGGAATGGGTACATTGCTGTGTAAAAGAAAGCAGGGACAGCATAGCTTTCCCAAGAAGCACTCACTGGATGAAACCTATACAACTTAATGCAAACATTCTGTGATGCTCAGGGAAGGGTGGAAAGGCACTCCCTCTTCTGTTCATATGCGTCTATGTGTCAATGTAGTGGAATGAGTACATTGCTGTGTGAAAGGAAGCAGGGACAGTATAGCAGCTGTACTGCGATACACAGTTTGACTAGGGAAGGTCAATACAACACTTAGAACTTTGAGAATGTATCAGAGAGTTTGGGGCAGAAAGTTGTTTTCTTGCTGTTACACTGATATTGCATGATTACCAAGTATAGAGCTGTTGTACCAACATATTGCAACAACACTCGTTTTGCTATTCCTCAGAAACACTCACTGTAGGAAACTTTTACTACTCTCAGCAATCATCCAGTGATTCTCTTTGAAGGGTGGATAAGCACTCACGTGTCCCATCCAATGCGCGCATGGGTGAATGTTTTGGAATGAGTATGTTGCAGTATGCAAGCAAGCAGGCACAGCAAAGCCAATGTACTCCCTTACACAGTTACACTAGGGAATCTGAACAGAGCACTTAGAACTTTCAGAAGGTTTCAGGGACTTCAGTGCAGAAATTTGTTCTCTTCGCTCTGCACGCTCATACAGGATTACAAGGGAGCATGTATAGAGCTGGTGTACCAGTGTATTAGAAGAACACTGGGTTTACTATTCCCAGGAAGCACTCACTGTAGGAAACTTACACCACTAAATGCAGACATTCTGTGATGCTCAGGGAAGGGTGGAAACAAACTCTCTCTTCTGCTCATATGCACCTATGTGTGAATGTAATGGAATGGGTACATTGCTGTTTGAATGCAAGCAGAGAAAGCATAGTCAATCAACACTGACACACAGTTTCACTAGGGAAGCTCAACACAGCACTCTTAACTTTGGCAAGGTATCAGGGACTTTGGGGCAGAAAGTTGTTTTCTTGCTGTTACACTGGTATTGCATGACTACATAGGACCATGTATAGAGCTGCTGTACCAACATATTCGAGCAACGCTGGTTTTTCTATTCCCCAGAAGCACTCACTGTAGGAAACGTTTACACTCAAAGCAATCGTCCTGCGATGCTCAGGGAAGGGTGGATACACACTCACTAATACCTGTCCAATGCATGCATGGGTGAATGTAAAGGAAGAAGTATTTCGTGGGGTGTAAGCAAGCAGAGTCAGCGTTAGGAATATATTGCCACACAGAGTTTCGTGAGATAAACTCAACACAGCACTTAGAACTTTGGGAATGTTTCAGGGACTTCACTGCAGAAAATTGTTCTCTTCGTTCCACACGGGTTTTAGAGCATTACAACGGAGCATGTAAAGAGCTGGGGTATCAGTGTACTAGAAGAACACTAGGTCTGCTATTCCCAGGAAGCACTCACTGTAGGAATCCTATACTACTTACAGCAAACATTCTGTGATGCTAGGGAAGGGTGGAAACCCACTCCCTCCTCTGGTCATATATTCCTATGTGTGAATGTAATAGAATGGGTACATTGGTGTGTGAAAGCAAGCAAGGACAGCATAGCCAATGTCCTCCCATACACAGTTCCATGAGGGAAGCTCAACACAGTGCTTAGAATTTTGGGAATGTTTCAGGGACTTCAGTGCTGAATCTAGTTCTCTTATTTCCACATGGGTTTTACAGCATCACAATGGAGCATGAATAGAGCTGGTGGACCAGTGTATTATAGGAACACTGGGCTTATTATTCCCAGGAAGCACTCATGTAGGAAACCTACACCACTTACAAGAAACACTCTGCGATGCTCAAGCAAAGGTGGAAACATACCCCCTCTTCTAGTCATATGTACCTATGATTTTATGTAATAGAATGGGTACATTGCTGTGCAAAGGTAAGCAGACACAGCATAGCCAATGTACTCCAATGAACAGTTTCATTAGGGAAGCTCAACAGAGCACTTAGAACTTTGGGAAGATTTCACGGACGTTGGTGCAGAAATTTCTCCTCTTCGTTCTGCACGGGTTTTACAGCATTACAAGGGAGCAACTATAGAGCGGGTGTACCAGTGTATTAGAGGAATAATAAGTTTACTACTCCCAGGAAGCACTCACTGTAGGAAACCTATACAACTTACAGCAATTATTCTGTGATGCTCAGGGAATGGTGGAAACATACTCCCTCATCTGGTCATATGTGCCTATGTGTGAATGTAATAGGATGTGTACATTGCTGTGTGAAAGCAAGCAGGGACAGCCTAGCCAATGTACTCCCATACGCAGTTTCGCTAGGGCAGCTCAACATAGTGCTTAGAACTTTTGGAATGTTTCAGGGACTTCGGTGCAGAAACTAGTTCTCTTAGTTCCACATGTGTTTAACAGCATTACAATGGAGCATGAATAGAGCTAGTAGACCAGTGTATGACAGGATCACTGGTTTTATTATTCCCAGGAAGCACTCACTATAGGAAACCTATAACACTTAGAAGAAACTCTCTGCTATGCTTAGGCAAGGGTGGAAACACACTTCCACCTCTGGTCATATGTGCGTATGTGTTTATGTAATAGAATAAGTACATTGCTGTGCGAAAGCAAGCACACATAGTATAGCCAATGCACTCCCATAAACAGTTTCACTAGGGAAGTTCAACAGAGCACTTAGAACTGTTTCACTAGGAAAGCTCAACAGACCACTTAGGAATGTTTGAGGGACTTTAGTGCAGAAATTAGTTCTCTTCGTTCCACACAGATTTTACAGAATTACAATGGAGCATGTATAGAGCTGGTGGACCACTGTATTAGAGGAACACTAGGTTTACTACTCCCAGGAAGCACTCACTGTAGGAAACCTATTCCACTTACAGCAAACATTCTGCGATGCTCAGGTAAGGGTGGAAACGCATCCCTCCTCTGGTCATAAGTGCCTATGTCTCAATGTAATGGTATGGGTGCACTGCTGTGTGAAAGGAAGCAGGGACAGCATAGCCAACGTACTCCCATACACAGTTTCACTGGGGAAGCTCAACAGAGCACTTAGAACTTTGGGACTGCTTCAGGGACTTTGGGGCAGAAAGTTGTTCTTTTCATTACACCCAGGATTTACAGCATTCTAAGGGACCATGTATAGAGCTGGTGTACATTGTATTCCATCAATACTAAGTTGACTATTCCCAGAGGAACACACTGTAGGAAACCTATAGCACCTACAGGTGACATTCTGCGTTGGTCAGTTAAGGGTGGAAACGCACTCCCTCTTCTGCTCATATGGGCCTATGTGAAAGGTATGCTATGGGTGCATTGCTGTGTGAAATCAAGCACGACAGTATAGCCAATCTACTCCCATACACAGTTTCACTAGGGAAGCTCAACACAGCACTTAGAACGTTGGGACTGCTTCAGGTACTGTGGGGCAGAAAGTTGTTGTTGTCCTTCTACATGGGATTTACAGCATTCTAAGGGAGCATGTATAGAGCTGGTGTACAGTGTATTCCACCAATACTAAGTTGACTATTTCCAGGAAGCACTCAATTTAAGAAATTTATAGCACCTACAGAAAAGGTTGTGCGTTGTTCAGTTAAGGGTGGAAACGTACTCACTCTTCTGCTCCTCTGCGCCTGTGTGAACGGAATGCTATGGGTGTACTGCTGTGTCAAGCAAGCAGGGACAGCATAGCCAATGTACTCCCATACACACTTCCACTAGAGAAGCTCAACACAGCACTTAGAACGTTGGGACTGCTTCAGGGACTTTGGGGCAGAAAGTTCTTTTCATTCCACCCGGGATTTATAGTGTTCTAAGGGACCATATATAGAGCTGGTTTACAGTGCATTCCACCAACACTAAGTTGACTATTCCTAGAGGAACTCACTGTAGGAAACCTATACCACCTACAGTAGACATTCTATGTTGCTCACCTAAGGGTGGAAACGCACTCACTCTTGTGCTGATATGCGCCTATGTGAATGGAATGCTATGGGTGCCTTTCCACCTGAAAGCAAGCTCGGAGAGAATAGCCAATGTACTCCCATACACAGTTTCACTAGGGAAGCTCAACACATCACTTAGAACTTTGGGACTGCTTCAGGGACTTTGGGGCAGAAAATTGTTCTATTTGTTCCACCCGGTATGCTCAGCATTCTAAGGGAGCATGTATAGAGCTGGTGTACAGTGTATTCCACCAGTGCTAAGTTTACTATTCCAAGGAAGCACTCACTGTAGGAAACCTATACCACCTACAGACAACATTCTGTCTTGCTCAGTTAAGGGTGTGAACGCACTCATGCTTCTTCTCATATGCGCCTATGTGATAGGAATTGTATGGGTGCATTGCTGTGTGACAGCAATGGAAAGAAGAATAAAATTAGCATTATGAATATTTTTCTCAGTATTTAAACACATCTTATATTTTTTTCTCCCTTCCATCAGACAAGAGTGAGATTGCTCATCTATTTACAGATTTGGGAGAACGACATTTCAACAGCCTGTAAGTTAAGGAATCAACATTAATGTTCTTGATAGCGTTGGTTACTACTCTGAAGTCGTCATATTCTAGATTCTAGCAGAGTGCCATCCAACAGAATTTTCTCCACTGATGAAAATATTCTATATCAGTCTGTTTGTATGGTAGCCATGGGCCACATGTGGCTATTGAATATTTTAAATATGGCTACTGAGGAACAAAACTTTAAATAGTTTTTAATTTTAATTAATTTAAATTTATAAAATCACATATGGTTAGTGGCTATTATTGGACTTTGAAACTGGAACTTTCATGCAGCAGTGAGGACTGCATTATATATCTCTGTTGTCAGCCTACTTGCAATGAGAATCCTTTTACATAGCAATTTTCTTGGGAACATTTTAATAACTTTTTAACCTAGTAAAAATGCTTATTTTTTTGAAGGGTCAATATCGTCATACAGCCTAATTAAATGAGATGTTTAGGCTTTGTGGGGCTTTGTGTGTGTGTGTATGTATGTGTGTTTTAAATAACTCAAAGGACTTATGTAATGTCTCATCTTAACAAATCAATCTACTTATTATATATCTGCTATTTGTCCTAAACATGTATATACTGCTATGCACACATATACACTCAGATATGGTGGAACTACATATCCTCTTTGCTGAGGAAGTTGCATATACTTTGTTGGACCTTTTCTAATACCTGATATGAAAAGGTTACCTAGAAAATTATAACAGATATGTTAAGATATAGACCATATACATGGTTTGCTGCCTAGCACAAAAACAGTTTTATGCTAATTTTTTTGTTTTACATATCTTTATATCTTTTGTTTCAGGGTATTGATTACCTTTTCTCAACATCTCCAGAAATGCTCCCTGGAGGAACATGTAAAATTAGCCAATGAAGTGACTGATTTTGCAAAAGCATGTGTTGCTGATGAGTCAGCTGAAAAGTGTGACAAATCAATTGTACGTACATTATGATTTTGAGGATTCTTTCTTCTCCTCTAAGTAATTATTGAATATTTCAAGGAAAATCTTTCTTTTTTGTTGTTTAAAAAGTTATTATTAAATGAACAAATTTGTAAAGCATACACAAATATTGTTTATGAACTGAAAAGCCACTCTTTTGGGACAGAGACGTCCCAGCTTTTCTGACAATTTTTAAAATAATTCTTCATTGAGATTACACGTAATAGTGACAGTTTATTTAAATGGCAATACGTCATTGTTATAATCTTGTTTCAAAATCTGAAGTTGGCTTTCTTTTCATAAAGGCTAATAATGATAGCATTTTTATATAATTATTAGCTTTGTTTTATTGTGGTAAGAAAACTTGACTTCTTAAATGTTGATCATTTATGAGATACTACTACACAGCAGATCTTTAGCCTTTATTTATCTGCCTTAATTGAAGTTTTATAGCAATTGATTAACTTCCCTATCCCACTGTCTCTATGCCACAGACGCCATCATTTTACTGTTTGATTTTCAGAATTTGATTATTTTTGATGCTTTCATGTAAACAGAGTCACGCTCTAGATACTGTTTCCCACAGTTCCTCCATGTCACCACCAGCTGCTGACTTTCTCTTTGAGAGGCTGAGTGGTATCCTTGTGTATACATTGTACATTTTCTGTATTCATTCATCTGCCAGTGAACACTGAGATTATTTCCACGTTTTGACTATGTAAATCATGCTGCAATGAACACAGGAGTGCTAATATCTCTGAGACAATAGCATGATTTTCTGTTTAGGAAGCACTAAGTACTATTTATGCTAATTTCATTACCTAGGTTAAATAATAATGTAGCTATTTTCCCTCATTGTAGGAATATTAACATTTTGCATACAGTAAAAAGCAGGGTACTCTGTCACTTGGAAGAATTTAAACTTTTTAAAATTCCCAAGTAGGTTTCCAAAACAATATGCCTGCATTTCTCCTACTACTCAGTTTATATATGCCTCTGGGACCAGGACTATGTATTATTTAGCATTAGAATCTTTCTCTTCTTATTTCCTTTTGGATATTCTTCTTTCTCATTGTAGAATCAGCACTTTAACTCCACAATATTATGATTCTATAGGTGATTTTTTTAAAAAA